AACGTACCGATAGCAGAAGCGCAGATAAACACCTTTTTATCTCCCTCGGAGGTGCGCACCAAATTGGCCAGGGTCTTGGTCGTCTCGATCCTGCTAGACCTGACCTCCTGCTTGTACTTCTCGGTCCATCTAACAGTTCAGTTGAGTTGTGTCGATAAAGGAAAAGAGGAAAAACTGGTTGCTTGCCTTTTCACAGGATCTCCGATCGTGGCTCCGGCCAGATTAACTACCGTCGTGCAGTCCTTTGGCAGTCCCTGCTGTCTCAGATCGTCCTGCAACTTCGACATATAAATTTAATCATTTTTTAACTTTAGCTGTAACATATCGGGCTGACTTTTAGCCAGGTATCAGGGGCTATAAGAATGCAACTGCTAACGGGGAAGTTTCATGAAGGAACAAGCAAACTCAAAACCCAAAATCTCGTTAGATAGGGTGTGCAGTACCACCAAAGTTATTCACGCCAACCCCAGAAAGGTTTTCAAAACACTCAATGAGAAAATCAGGGGCCTAACATGAATAGGAGCTACTTAAACCACCGGCGATTTCCGGACAACATTTTTTTCTCTCAGAGTTTCCAGAAGAACTCCAAAGTAGAATTCAAAAGCTAAACAAAGCCAGCAGACTACTATAGGACGGTAATTAAATCTGATAAAAATTAGATCATGTTCTGACAGATGTGTGACCGCCCGACCTGTTAGACTTAACGTTGCTAAGGTACAAAACTACGTATATCTTAGACAGGTCATCTCTGCAACGAAGAACATACTCTGTGAAATCAAAAGAAGAGTAGAAAAGGCAAGGAACACCTTTTAAAGATTAAAAATATTTTTATTCGAAAAACTGTCTTTCCGGTTGAAGAAGACATTCCTTTACTGTGTGCGGCCAGCGCTAACCTGTGGATGCGAAACGTTGACCCTAAGCCTAAAAGCTATTCATAAACTGCAGACAACTCAAAGCAGCATATAAACATGAATGCTGGAAATAACAAGAGATTGGAACATGTGTTGCGAATGCCTCCAGAAAGGAAGGCTAAGCAACTATTACTTGCAAATCCGACCGGCAAAAGGAACAGGGGACGGCCAAGATTAACTTGGTGCAAACATATGGAAGGAATCTGTTCCAGACTGGATTTGTCTTTTGCGGAAGCTCAGACTCTGGCACAGGATCGGGAACGTTGGAAGCTCTGTCTGACGCGTCTGCCTCCGCGACCCGAAAGAAGCGGCGATGGAAGATGAAGATGAAGGAAGATGGCTAAATGGATAAGAGCAAGAGCAGGGATTCCAGTACATGAGTGAACAAGCTGAACTGAGAATGGACAGGACACTTTGCAAGAAAAAGCAACAATCTCTGAACCAAAGAGACATTAGACTGGGTTCTAAGCGAAAATAAACAGCCAGTAAGAAGACCTGTGGCGGAGGAAAGATGCGCTGAAGATCGCTGGATCAACGTGAACGAAAATGGCAGATAAGAAAAGTTTATATATAAGGGTAATACACCGCCTCTCCTAAAAGCCCCACTTTCACTACCTCAGCGTGACAGGAGGATGTCAACGAGTTTTCAAGACGATTTTCTAGGATTTAGCAGGTTCGATCATGCTGTAAAGGCTAGAGAAACATACCCGGCCAAGAGGCAGCACTACCAATCCTCCCGGATGAAATCACAATTTTTTCGAGGCCCTCATCACGCAAGTGATCAACAAAGTCTGACGATGAAATATACCCAACGACGTCCCTTTAAAAATTTCGCAGTCCATCTTCAACAACGGTGAAAGTGAAATTGTGGTGCTGTTTATGGCTGACTATATCAACAATCTTTGTCAGGGTCAGAAGGCAAGCACAAAGTTTCAGAAGCAGGCAGCTTTGTGAGACACATCGAAACGTCGACAGAGATGTAATATTCGTACATTTCGTTGAGGCTAACTAAGCTGTTTTACTTCAGTCATACAATATATAAATATATCCAGCATTAATTACCAAGAGGACGGCACCATAACGTCATACATCAGAACTGCGTAATTATGTATGTCCACATACCAACATATACTACAATGAATATCCAATAACTGCCCAAAACGCTGTCCTTCAAAACTAAAGGAAAATAAAACTATACCCATGTTATAAAATCCGGACGACGACGTAGACGGCTGACAACACTGACCGCAAGGCCACTTGACCGAATGCATCTGATTAACTCGCTGCCAATGAAACCACTACCACCGGCTACAATGATTTACATTAGACACTGATAAACAGAAGGACATGCATCCATCCGAATCTCACCTACCAACACTGTCATCGGACGACAGGTATTCTACGTGTCTGAGGGAAGAACCACGAAAAAGACCACGAAATTAAAAGTAAGCAACAGTACGGCAGCAAAAGCAGTAACAGCTAAGCATAAAAAAATTTTTATACGTGATCAAATATAAGTCGCCGTAATATTACACATGCATTTCTAATTCTGAATCTATAACAGAGCAAATAGTGTTTACCACGTGCTGCCCCCGTTACACGTGGGGATTTGTAGGTAAAATGCTTTTCTCAACACTATGATACCTCTTTATTACACATCGTGCTTTGACTCAATACACGCTTTCTCTGTCTTTTAACGTGAAAGCAAAACTTGGTTTTGAAACCTGTTCTTGGAAAAATTATTTATTCGAAGAAAAAACTTGTTCAATAAGTCCCAACTACAATGATTGAACTGTACAAACTAAATTAAAAACTCGACCTCAGGCGGCGCTGCCGCAGTCGTCTGAATTATCTTTGGTATGTTACATTTGAATTTGAACAGGGAGATTCAGACTCAGCGTGGCTATTTTTTACATTTTCCAGAATCAAACGATGTTTTTGAGTGACTACATGGCAAAATCGAGCTAAACGTTGTCATCGAAATCTTTATTATGACTGCCGACCGAATACAAAGACTCTTTAAAGTTTAAACTCTCAAGTGAAACCCTTCCAGGAATAAAAGTGTCTTCGTAGTAGGCTGCGTATATCTACTCAAAATATGAATTACTCAAAATAGTGAATAAAATAATAAACAATTCATGATCCTCGTTTCTTGAATGTGGTTCCAGGCAAGAATTTAAAATGAATTGTATAATTTTTTTCATTCACTAACGTGTTTCCAGCAGGAACAAGGCAATGCCGCCGATCACATGTGAGGTCGAGTGCTCTAAGTGTGAAATTTTGTTGGCATTTTTAATGAAGGAAATAATACGTTTTTTTTAAATAGTGGGTATTAAACCGCACTGCGCTGAAAACAGATACTGATGGCGTTGGATATGCGCGTTTAATCTTTCTGAAGCAGCAATAAAATCAGATAGGATCACTTTGATAGCAAAATTTTGCTACCTTTTCAATAGCGCCTTCTTTGTAAATTTCGTCTGTAAATGCAATTAAAGCGTAATCTCATGGCGTAAACGAATGGCGCATTAGGCGGAATCAAAAATTGGATCTGTCCATTACAGATTTATTTTCTCTCCGAAAGATATGAAACTTCTTATCTTATTTTTTCTGTAGTCTGTCTGAAATCTGTTAGGTTTCCAAAATGACATGTGCACCACATCTGGGTATTCGGCTTAAATTCAAAGTTAACATGACGTCTAATAGGTGAAAATGTGCACTTGTTCCATGACTGTAGATATAAAAAAGTCAAGTAGTTTTCTTCGTTTAAAGTGTTTTAATTTTGCACTGTCAGGTCTTTTCACTTAAGATCCAACCTTATCAGTGCATTATCAGTGTTAGGAACAGCGCGAGAAATTTAGCCGCTGATATATCACGTGCGGCACCAAAATTTGGGGTTATGGACTTTTGCGTTGCAAAATACTAACGTTTGTTTAGTAGATCTTTCTGCCGGTCATCGTACACGATTTGGTTCGCAGAAAGGATGGTAGATATAGGGAACTTTTCAACGATTGGTGATGTTCAGACGATTGATCTCGCAAAGCATGTAACTTTAAATACTACCTCAGTAAATATCTGGCTAATTTTATAAAAGAAAGCCTTCAGTTGTTTCCATCTGGCATGCGAAGGATTTTCAAATGTTTCGGCCAAGTGGCCTTTTTCCTGTTGGTAGCATAGACAGAGCTGGAATCACCTGACAGATCCTTTTATGTTTCTGCTGTCGCATGACTTAAACCACAGCGGCTATCGCATGCTAGATGTTGTGTTATTCGCCCTTTTCTAATAGACAGAGTAAAGTGGATCGTAGATGGCAGTGCAAAAAAGTTAATAGGCAATGTTCTTCACATGTCCAATATCCGAGTACAACATTGTAGCTGCGCTTCAAACAGTTACCTGAAAATTTTGCATGCGCATAACCTATTGGCAATAGCATTATTTTGTAGAAAAGCTAATAATGCGGTATTTCAGCGTTGTTTTCGGCTTTCCTGCTACGACGCAGGTACATCGGAAGCCGCGGCAAATCTATTCAACACTTTCCGTTTCCAATTTTCAAAGAATGCAAACTCTTGTTGTCTGTCATCTTCGTTTTGGTAGCAGTAAGTTTAAACTGAACTTGAGTTAACTTATGATATCCGACATACACAAAGTGGTTCCTGCGCCACAGTCGTCCTATCTCAATTATTCTGCGGATAAATAGTCAATGCCAAATACTAGAAAGTGACTATGAATTATCAGGACTAAACTTTCACTACTTAATTGAGCTGAAAGATAAAGAACATAAATTCGAGGTTGATATCGTATTACTTTCATTTGGTCTTCCCTTTCGAACATCCTGTGAACATAATCAATCAGTCATTCCGTTCTCAATGTTTATCGAATGCTTTTGAGCAGCATGGCATTGCCTCAAGTGGACAGTGCTGAATTAACTGTAAAAATAATGATACTTCATTGAAACGGCGAATGCACAGTGTAAAAAAATCAGTTTTCACTTTAAACCAGCATTTCTGTTGCGACGCCGCTTTGCTTCTGGACGCTAACGGGGACCATTTAAATACCATTGAGTCGTGGTCTGCTTAAATATAAATTGTCCCCTCCCCCCACCAAGGCATCTAGAAACAAGGGAGCGGCGTAACAGAGATGCCGGTATAAGGTGAGAAATTGATTTTTCTTTTTTACACTGTGCAGTCGCCGTTTTAATCCAGTATCATTTTTTACTGTGATATATTCAGCGGCGGTATCTAAAGCACCCTTGAAACATTGTCGTTCCATTTCGTCACATTGTCACTCTGGTGTTTGCAGATGACCTCGTTTTATTGGCTCTTTTGAAACCGATCTGGAGTGCAC